GAAAGTGGGTAATGAGAGAAGGGAGAAGACATGCAGCAAAGGTCGCCAAGGCCGGGAATCGAACCTGCGACAGCTGCGTCGAGGACTTAGGCCTCCATATGTGGGTTGTGCTTAACCCCTGCGCCACCACAGCACACCCCTGACGTGTATTGAGTTTTAAGTAAAATCTAACCCTAACCAACTGACCTGCAGCAGGAAAACTCTCTGTTTAAAGTTAGAAAGTGTGGAGGAAAAACAGTCACCTGGTTTAAGTGGCCATGTTGAGTCTTGAACAGTGATCTGAATCTGTACTCTAGGCAGCTCCACAGACCGGCGGCGTAGGCAGCGGATTGTTCCCAGTAACGATGAGCTGCTGTATGACCCAGATGAGGATGACAGGGACCAGGCCTGGGTGGACGCAAGGAGGTACCGGCATGTCCTTTTTCCTGCTATGAAAGTGCAGGACAACAATGTTTTTCCTCTCAGTGTAAATCGGCTTTCTTTCATCCTGTGAAGGTATAACGGCAGAAAGCATCAGAGCACAGCATCCCGGTCCCAGACTGGCCAGAACCATCGCCTCCCCAGCAGTGACGCCGTGTTGAACTGTCCTGCCTGTATGACCACGCTCTGCCTGGACTGTCAGAGGTCAGGAGGAACACAACCACCTCCGCATCCACACTGAGCATGTGCAATATATATGTCAGGCTGTTGGGATCACAGAGACTTGGTCTTCAACATGTTGGCTGTAACCTCTTGGTAAACTTAGAGATTATACCCAACTGCAACCTACAATCATCTCCTTTGTTTTTTTTACATTCAAGATGATTTGATTGTTCCCTCACCAATTCACAAAGTGGTCCACCAGATCCAGTGGTGGAGAAAGTACTCAAAAAATGTACTTAAGTAAAAGTACAAATACACAGACAAAAATGTACTCAAGTAAAAGTAAAACTACCACATTAACATTTGTACTTAAGTAAAAGTAAAAAAAAGTACTGGCTTTTAAAAAATACTTAAGTATTAAAAGTAAAAGTACTTGCTAATCCCTAATACAATATCATTAAGTGAACCCGATCGTATTTAATTTTAATACATTAGAAATGTGCCATTTTAATGAACAATGCCACAGATAAAGCATGTTTTTATTATGTTTACTCTGTAACATAGTTTAGACTTAGATATGTGATTCTATGCATCATAATTTCAGGGATGGAAACATCTTGTCTCCTGTCCTAACATAGCATGAACTTCACTTTTTTTTGCCACTAGTGGCTTTTATTTTTAAAGAAATCCATCAGAAAGGGGATGGAAAGAAGGTGGGTGGGGGAGGACATGCAACCGAGGAGCCACGTAGCAGAGTTGTAGTCAAGGCCACCTACCCAAGACCAAGTAAAGACCAGCACCCCCCGCTACGTGACACAAAAAAAATTAAGTTTTACCTTCAAAATTGCTTCTCAGTAAAGATCCATCCAGAAGAATCGGATCGTTCCTGAATGTCATATCAATATATTGCACTTTGGTCACAGCATTGTCCCATATATGTGACACCTCAGTCAACACCTCCACACAATAATTCAGCGCATGAGTGACAACTTTTTTCATCGCAGATGCAACATGTGTCTCTGTACAGCTAGTATCCATTATTAAATCTACTTAAGTAAAGTACAGATACATGAAAAATTTACAGTAATGAAGTACTTGTACTTTGTTACTTCCCACTACTGTCCAGCTCTGTGTACTCAGCCTCTTGTCCATCTCTGATACACCGAGCAACTGCAACCTAAGTATTTCTGTAGATGACATAAGTCAGTCTTATGCTGGAAGTTTGAAGTGTAGAGTGTCAAGGAATGGTGAGATACTGTCCCCTGTGGTGCTCCTGTGTTACTGACCACCTGATTAAACAAACAGTCCTTCAGTCTCACAACCTGTGGTCTGTTTGTCAGGTAGTCATAGATCCAGGTGATTGTTGAAGCCTCCACCTGTGTCTTCTGGAGTTTCTCTCAGAGCAGATCAGGCTGAATTGTGTTAAATTCACTGGAGAAATCAAAAAACATGATCCTCACAGTGCTGCCTGCCTTGTCCAGATGACAGTGGGTTTGTTGAAGAAGGTGTATGATGGCATCTGCACCTCCATCTCCACGGCGATAAGTAAACTGCAGGAAGTCCTGATATGAGCTTGTCTACTTATTCAGATGGGCTAACAGGAGACTCTCCACAACCTTCATGATGTGGGTTGTCATGGTAACTGGTCTATAGTTATTGATGACTGATGGCTAAGTTTTCTATGGTACCGGAACCAGACAGGATGTTTTCCACAACAGAACCTTCTCTTGGGTCAGTATATCGTTGAAGAGATGCTGCAGAATCCCACAGAGTTGCTCTGCAGCTTCAGGGCTTCAGGTCTACATTCATTTTATGGGGGCAAAATTAATGTACGTATCTGAAAATAGACACCAACATCGTTAGCCTACAACAGGGGTGCCCAAGTCCAGTCCTCGAGAGCTACCATCCTGCAAGTTTTAGAAGTATCCTTACTCCAACAGACCGGGATCAGCTCTACAGAGGCCTGATAACGAGCCATTCATTTGATTCAGGTGTGTTGAAGCAGGGATGCATCTGAAAGTTGCAGGATGGTAGCTCTCGAGGACTGGACTTGGGCACCCCTGGCCTACTAGGTACTTGTTAAGCTTGATATTAGCTAGTCATCTTTTAGCTAACATTACCTGCATCCAACAGCTTTACTCAACTCAGTCGGTTAGTTTGGAGGGAAAAACTGTGAAAAGTTCTTTGCGTTTAACTGCCGTGATTCTAACACAAACCTACGTAGCTCCGTACAGCAGCAGCAGGTCTCCTTCACAGGTGTAAATCCAGCGCGAGCGTCGTAGCGCTCATGTTGCGTTTAAAGGCGGCTCGGAAAAACAGGTTACAACGTGTTGACAACGGATTAAACAGTTTTAACTGCTGATAAAAGTGACAGAGGACACAAATATGGGAAGTGTGGAAGCCTCTACTGTATCAAATTTACAGAGGAATAACAGAGAGTTGGCCATTCTAAGGTAAAAACCCAGCCCATACAGTGTTCATGTTTTTTTTTTTATCCAGACGGCTTCCCGCGCCCCCCCTGCAATGACACGGCGCCCCTTATTCTCCTGCTTCTTCCTCTACTTCTCTTTGCTGTCTCCAATTTTGACTCTGAGCAGCTTCTGTATAATCCTCCTCAATAACTTAAGAGTGGCAAAAGCAAATGAGATGGATTAGCAGAATGGGGAACAACTGCTGGTGTCATTCCACCATGAAATATTGTCTTTGCTGCCCAAAAGCTGAACTGTTAGCATGTCTTTTAAGTCTTGAAACTGTCATAGATTCAGTCTTCAGTCAGAGGTGTCTTGAGATTAGTTTCGAGACTGACTGCTTACTGGAGATCCTTTCCGGCCACAGCGTCACTGTCCATGACGACAGTTTACTTGGATACTTGGATGATATGAGCTATGGCAACATTTAATTTCCCTTTAGTATAAATAAAATATTTTTTAATAAAATTTTTAATTGAACGAAATGGTGAGCGTGTTGAAAGGGTATGACTATTTTTGCATAGTACTGTGTTTATATATCCTTTTTTAAACTGGCTTCATCCAACAAGAACCCTTTCCATGGTTTCTAAGGTGAATGTATTACATGCTGTCCTGTTTCTCCTATAATTGTGGGATAACAATCCAGTCCACCCATATTGTAAAGTAGCTATCATTTGTAACATCTCAAAGCAGTGTTTGATGAATTGGAAACTGTGTTGAATAAATACTGTTCTATGTTTTGTCTTCACCAGGCATGAGAAGTACCGCACGCAGTATCGAGCCATGTTTGTGATGAACTGCACAGTGAAGACAGATGAGGTGCTGCGCTACAAAATGCAGCAGGAGAAAAAGCCCAGGAAGAGGAGGAGAGGCCAGACAGCAGAGGCTGCCAGCCCGAGGCCAGCAGGCATGGACTCTGATGAGATCTACCACCCTGTGAAATGTTCTGAGTGCTCCACAGAGGTGGCTGTGTTTGACAAAGACGAGGTCTACCATTTTTTTAACATACTGGCCAGTCACTGTTGAGGTGGACTGAACAGGTTCAAATCCTGAATTTCTTTTTTGTCTGTTTTCCAGTTTGTCTGTGGAACCTCGTCCAACAGAAACTGTTTTTACCTGTTTTGACTAAAATGATTGTTCTATCATCAATAGCTGGATTTCCTCTCAACTTTTAGTAAATCCAGTTTCCTGCATTAGCATCAGTTTTCATAGAAGTTCACCTCAGCCTGTTGTCAGAGAGCCTTGCACAGCCTAACGAACTACTACTTCACATTCCACTCCACTTCTGGAAAAATAATAAATTTTTCTTTTGCTTGGGAATGCGTTTTAGGTTTATGCTCTGAAATCCGCATAATTCTTTGTTTTCAGCAACTGTTTAAACAACTAAAAGACTTTTAAACAGTTATAATTTTAATATCTGCTTCTTTTTTTAACAACTACCATCTGCTGCACAGTTCTAAAAGCGTTAAGATGTTTTTATGGATTACTTATCTATGGTGAAATGTTTATGGTCACAGGCCAGTAGAATACAAAAGACAGAGACTTGATGTTGAGAAGTATTCCTGTGTTATTCATCAGCTGGATTCATATTCCTCAGGAAAAAAATGAGACATGAGTTTTGCGGGATGGACTTTTATGCTGGGTGTAAGCAGGATGGGAAATACCCAGCACATTTGAGGTGCTGGGTATAGGCCACATAGGTGGTCCTATACAGCTACAGCTGCTACAACTAAAAAAACAAGTAATTAACAGCAGCGTTGCTCAGCTCTGATTGTTAAAAAAATCTGAAAATATCAAAAACCCCATCCCTGTTTTTCCATTCCCCTGGACCTTAAATCAATGTCAATCAAATGCAGTAAAAGGAAAAAATTAAACCTACCTTCTCACCAAAATACAGAATAATTATTTTAAAATAACAAGTATCTTTTTTCTTATCAGTCCCATGATTTTTTCACAATTTTTATTTTCCTGTTGCCAAAAAGTTTACATTTTGAGGTACGGTAGTTCAGAACAGTTAGAGTATTATGTTATTCTGAGCTTTCTCTGTAGTTCTGCTGCTGGAGGACAAACTGACCACTTTTCCTAACTCTGTTAGAGTTAAATATTTTTCTACTCTATGTAGCATGCATTCTTTGCTGTTATTCCAGTGAACTTTAATGTTTTCCCTTAGTTTTTGTCTCTTCATAAAAATCACATCTGGCCTAGGGTTATTATACTAATAAGTATTAGTATCATAATTATGATTAGCATACTAGTAATATAGTACTAGTACTAGTACCATTACTACTAGTAGTACTAGTGGTAGTATTCGCGAATCCTGAACCATATTCATGTATATGTCCTGAATTACGTCAGATTCGCGCAATAGAAAACCGAGCTGTGATTGGCTGAAAATAAACACCATACGAAATACAGGAAGACACTCTGGAAAACGCCGGAAGACGAACCAGGGAACAGGCAGGCTTGGTGAAAGCTAAATTGAAGTATTCTGAAGTTGGATTATGGCGCTTGGAGACTGTTGGAAGCAGCTGTCCTGGTTTTATTACCAGTACCTGCTAGTGACAGCGCTGTACATGCTGGAGCCCTGGGAGAGGACCGTGTTCAGTATCCTTTTCCGTGTCACGATGATTCAAACTTGCTGCTGGTGGCTAGCGGAAAGCTAACCTTAGCTTTAGGCTAAGTGATAATTTGACACAACTTGAGCTAAATTGTCTTTGAGGTTCACGTCAAGTCAGTAATAAATTTAAACTACACGAGTTTATGATTAATAGGATTTTCTTTATGTACTTAAGCAGGAAGGTACGTTTATTTTTTTACTTAAGTTCTAAACACTTTAATTCCCAGCCCATGCTCTGTCCTGAGAATCTCCACCAGCGTCAGGAACTTCTCTGAACACAGAGCTTGTTTATAGTTGAAACTGCTGGAAACTCTTCCTGTTGCGTGACAAACGTAGTTTTTCATTAACCTGGCCCGTTTAAATAAATAACGAGAGAAGAGGAATGAAGGTTTCGGGTTTAACCGATGGATTTGTTATTGCGTCACTGCTTTGTTTTGATGGGACATGACTAATTAATTAAAACGTTTGTGGTTCTTGACCCCAATCTGAGTAATCCAGTTTCAGAAACATTAGTTTAAGATTGTGTTGAGAAACAAGTGACTCTAGGATTATTAAAGTTATTACTGCAGTGAAGTCAGCTTGATTGGGTACGTCATTAAATATGATTTCAGTGAAGTTACTCACACTAGATACATAAATTGTACTCAGGGAAGAGTATTGTTACTTTACAATAAGATTGCTCATTTAAAAGCATACCTTTTAATTGAACAATCAGTGTAGTAAAATTACTCTTAAAAGTTTTTCTTTTTGTTTTTTTTGTTTTTACAAAAAGATACTAAATTATTGTAATTTAATAAATGTAATTGGTACATATTAGTCTGGTGTTCAATCTAAAAGTCAGCATTCTCCACAAATGTCACAATTTAAAAGTAAACCACCTTGGCAACAAATCAATTAAGTTCAAGAAGCTTTATTACAACAAATAAACATTTCTTGAGGGTTATTTATTTATTTATTTATTTTGTATTATTTTTTTGGCTGAGTTTGAAACTTTTACTTAATTCATAAAAAAACTGTACTTTGAACTTCGCAAAATTAACTGGGTTTTAATCAAATGCCATATTTACAAAAGCAATGGTTTAATTCCAAAGACTATTAAATTACTGAATACATAGACAAATGAACTCAACAACAAATGTATTTACGGTATTCTTTTTAGTTTGTTCCTCAGGTTCTTCAAACTTCAGATTGGAGCAAAGTGTTATTCTGTCCTTTCATCTTTCCAGAGTTTCATGAAGCTCTGATCATTTGTTGAACTTCTTCAGAAATGTGGACTATGGACACTGACAGTGTGTGGGACGTCTGTGCTGCTGCTACATGTTTAACGTTGAGATGCTATTTCAGGCTTGAATAGCTTCACTGATAGGCTAATACCTTCAACACAACTTGAACACAATAGTCTTTTCCAGCGTTGCATCAGATCAGTTTTTGAAGCAGAAATGAACCAGTAGATCAAAACAAGCTGCTTCATCATCTACCGCTACTGTTTGCAGATGCCGCATATGTGTCAGATTTATAGGTGTTCCAGAAACACACAAATATGGAGATTCCAACTCTGGTATGCTTGAAAAAAAAGAGAAAGTTTTTGATCATCTTCTTCCTCTAACATAGTGTAGAGCAGAGGTTCCCAAACTGTGGGGCGCGCCCCCTAGGGGGTGGCGCCGTGTCATTGCAGGGGGGGCGCAGGAAGCTGTCTGGATGAAAAAAACAAAAAAAACATGAACACTGTATGCGCTGGGTTTTTACCTTAGAATGGCCAACTCTCTGTTATTTCTATGTCAATTTGATACAGTAGAGGCTTCCACACTTCCCATATTTGTGTCCTCTGTCACTTTTATCAGCAGTTTAATCCGTTGTTTAATCCGTTGTTAACATGTTGTAACCTGTTTTTCCGAGCCGCCTTTAAACGCAACATGAGCGCTACGATGCTCGCGCTGGGTTTCCACCTGTGAAGGAGACCTGCTGCTGCTGTGCGGAGCTACGTAGGTTTGTGTTAGAATCACGGCAGCAAACCAGCAAAACGCAAAGAACTTTTCTCAGTTTTTCCTCTCCAAACTAACCGACTGAGTTGAGTAAAGCTGTTGGATGCAGGTAATGTTAGCTAAAAGATGACTAGCTAGCTAATATCAATACAGAACCTTAAGCTTAACAAGTACCTTGTAGGCTACCGGAGTTGGTGTCTATTTTCAGCTACGTACATTCATTTTGCCCCCCAAAAAGTCGACTCCCCCCCCCCCAACGGCCATTTGTAATCCATTGGGGGGGGGCGCAGAAAATGTTTGGAAACCACTGGTGTAGAGGAAGAAACCATCAAAGACTACAATTAAAAATGATAAATACTGTTACGAAGCACACGCAGCTGCATGAGTTAGTGTAACAGGCTGCAAATGGTTGGACTTGACACGCAGAAAGAAAAGATGATTGCTAGGAGTAGCAATCATCTTTCCAGTTTGTGTGCATTAACCTTTAACCCTCACCTTAATCTTTGTCTCTACAAGGAATCTCTATGCAGTGTAATTGTTATTTTATGATGCGATGCTGCTAATAACTTTGCAATCCCTCGCAGCAGAAAGAGTCTTTTCCCACTAGGAAGTTCTTCCTTAATCTCTGCCTGTCAGACTCCCTGCTGATCTCCGTGGCTGCCATGGCCATCTACACTGGCTACGTCTTCATGCCGCAGCACATCATGGCCATCCTCCACTACTTTGAGGTAGTCCAGTGAGCCGTCTCCTCTGGCGTTCCACTAGTCCAGCCCGTCGTCCATCCGCCTACCACATCCTCCAACAACCCTCCATTTTTCTGTGCTTGGATACACGTCCCTGTTTGAAGTCGGACTGTCACAGGACTTCTCTCCTCATGGAATCCAGATCAAAAGTAGAAGCTGGGCTCGCTGTGCTGGAGGCCATGTAAGACTACAGCCAACCGCTGTGAGAGCGGACATTGTAAGCAGTGTTTTACTTGGAGAAGTGCTTAGTTTCAGCTGTTTGCTTTTTCACTTTGACTCAAGTGAACTTTACTGTTGGAGTGATGTGTAGTTTGTTGGACTGTACTTTGCTTTTGCTATCCTCTAGTTCAGGGACGCCCAAAGTTGGTCCTCGAGGGCCGGCATCCTGCATGTTTTAGTTCTCTCCCTGGAGGTAGTAACAACTTTTTCACCTCGTCTATGTTCCTCTTAGGCCTTCCAAGGAAGGGAGAGAACTAAAACATGCAGGATGCCGGCCCTCGAGGACCAACTTTGGACACCCTGCTCTTGTTGTCCTGTAGTTGTTTGACTGGCTGAGCAGGATGAGATCTTTAGATCTGCTTTCCATCTCCTGTGATGAAGCTCAGCATTCCTCCAACCTGATCTGGACAATTAAACCATATGCAGCATACAGGGAGAGCCTGTCAGCTCTGTTACAGCTAGTTAACAGCAAGCAGTTTTTTTCACTATAAACATGCTGTAGTTCTCTTTATGGCACACAATCCTTCATATAGATTTTTATTTTTAATCTTCTGACTTTTCTTTCAGACTCATCATGTTTAGTTATATTTTATCTTTAGATCTGAATGTTTTTTTATTTTATTTTATAATTTTTATTTGAACTAAGTAGATTGTTGCCATACTCTGCATCCCAAAATATAGTTCACTTATTGAGTATAAAGAAACAATCTGCAAAAGTTTTAACATTTTTCTGTCCATCATGACTTTTCTGATTCTTAACTTCAAATCTATAAACATACAACAAATATCTGTAAAATTAATTCCATTAACCACTACTTTGAGGAATTCTAGCTCTAGAGTGAAGCTCTTCATAGATGAGTTATAAACTGCGAAAAGCTGACAAATTCCTTTACAGATGATGGATCTAGGAAATAGGTTGCAATGAAATGATTGTGAAAATCTGATTGTCAAGAACAAAAACATCTCTTTGAACTTCCTGTAACTCAAGATATGTTTTTTAATAATACTTTCTATTTATGTTTGACATGTAAAATAATGTTAACCTTCCTGTGGTCCATCGAACCCCTCAAGCTTTTGAACCTGTATGCGGTCCGGTGGGGTCGCACTGACCCTGTGTGCGCTTCCTCGTTGTCTGTCACGGCAAGACCGCAGGAGGGTTAATCAATTCAAGGTTTAGGTTGTTTTTCAGTTTTCCTTTATTGTTCATTCCAGAGATTTAATTGTGGTTTTCATATTTGTTTAATCTCTGAAATGCTCCAACCAATCCTCAGGCATCATTATGGGCAGCAGTTACCTCCATCCCTGTTTTAATTGTTCTGTTTGCAGGTGTTGGAGGATATTATTGTGGTTGAATTGCAAAATTGGACCAGAATTTGTTTTCTGAGAGCCAAAGTTTGTGAGAATTTGGGGTCTATTCTCAGTACAGTGCAGCTCCTTATATGCGATCTCAGTGGACCATAACAATCTGTTCCTCCAGCTTGGCACTTGATCAACACATCAGGAAGGATTTATTGGACTGTCGAAAGGAAGGTTCAGTGGGAAAGAAAATCAGTCAAAATAAGGCCTAATCTAATTAAGTCTAAGATAATTTGTCCTTATAACAACATATCAGATATCCTTTTTATATTTTGGTTGCATTTAATAGCAACATAAACTCCCACTGCCACAGCTAACACTTTCTCCTGCTAAAATATGTACTTTTCTTGAATGTATATATTCTTGTATACATCTTTGTAAAGTTTTGTAGTCAGATAATTTGACTTAAGGAGATGTTTTGGTGAAGTCATTGTAATACCATTCTATATATCTGAAATGATTAAAGTTATACTTGTTTTACCTACTTTTGGTTTTCATCATGTTCAAAGTTTTGGGTAACACTTTATTTGAAGGGGGGTGAATAAGACTGACATAACACCTGTCATGAACATGAATAAGCCTTCATGAATAT